AAAGCAGTAATGTTTTTGGTAATGTGTTAATATTTCAGGAGAGTATCTATGCCATGGAAACAATTATAGAACTCTGGAACTGTTGTAGGAGGCCTGGATAAACTCATAAATGATTAACACTGCTGCTCAAGATAGATCTCTGAAATAAATGCCAAACATAACAGGAAGTCTACTGCCCAGCAGTTAAGTTCAGAGCTTGCAGCTGCTGCTGGAACTGTTGTTTTACACCAAACTGTCCACAGAAGACTTAATTAAAAAAAAAAAAAAAAAACTTTATACCAGAAAGGCCAAGCATATGTGTTTCATTGTCTTTACAACAAAAGAGGGATCGCTTCAATTGGTGCAAAGAACACCAGAACTGGAGGGAATATCAATGGTCTCATTTTCGTTTTACTGATAAGTCGAGCTTTAGTTTAACATCTCATCTGTTTACATCAGGAAGGAGTCAGGAACATGAAACCTTCCTTGAAACATGACTATTTGGTAATGCAAGCATGAAGGTCTGGCAAGAAATAAAGATCAAAGGACATATGTCCCTACATGTTTCAACAGCAGATTTGTGAATAGCCAGAGGTACTGAAATAAGGGAGATCAAATTCCATATTAAATCCATAAACCTTATTTTTTTTGGGGGGGGAAGGGGTTCTACTTTTTTTAACTCTATTTGAACTACAATTTTTATTGTTTTTTGCTATAGTTTTATATCATAAGAAAGCAATTAATTTTTTTTTCTTTTGTTTTTGTGTGTTATGATGTTATGTGTTATTCCACACAACATAAAATTATAGTTTGCACTTTCTGAGAAGTCCCTGATTTCATACATGTAAAGATAATTCTGGATATGAGTGTATTTTAAACTAATAATGTTTCATCATGCAGTTATTCAGGAGGAGGGCAAGTGGGAAAAAAAAAAGGATAGCAAAATTTAATGACTAAAGAACACTGAATAACATTAAGAACATTTGATGACTTATTAGATGAATAAAAAATAGAGCAGAGGAAGCTATTTTGAAGGCTAATTTCAGCATGGAAGTGCTTTACAAAAGTGAATTTCTCAAGGAGACATGTCAACTTTACATTAACGTGAATATTAGCAAGAGTATATAGAATAAATATCTTAAACAAATACATTCATTAATATAAAATAATTAAAGCATAAATTTAATACCATATTAAACTTTGCTTACAAATAAAATCTGATAGATTATAGATAGATCTGAGATTTCTGATAGATTACAGATTTAATAAACTATAATTTGCATTTTAACACATAACTTAATTACATATTAGAGTCATCAACAAAAGTTTGCTTCTTGGTCATATATACCTTCTATTTAATTAAATAGGAAACTACAAATAAATTAATGAATATTTCTGATTTAATTTTAAAAATAATAAAAAGGCAGAAATGGCATTTATACACAAATTAATGTTAAAGCAGCAATATGTAACACTTGTATTTTGGAAGAACTGATTAATGTGACATAAAATGCTTAAAAGTCCAGTTAAATCCTTTTTAAAGAGAATCTGATTTTGATTATTTCAGCAAGATACACCAGAAAGAAAATTTATGAACCAGTCAGAAAAAACTAAGCAGAATCAGACTGAATTTGAGATTTGATAATGACAAAACACACTAGGATTATCTGCCAAAGGGAAATAAGTAAATTTTGTAAGTGCTACACAAACTAAATAATGCACTACATGGCTCATATAGCCACATAAAACACATTTTAGAGGGTGAACTTTTATCTCTTGAGCACACTATGAAGGGTATGGGGCTTTGCGAGAACAGATGTACTAACAGACTAGCCATCATTCTAGCCATTAGATGGGTGTTGAGTAGAAACTAGGCTTATGTATTTTATATTCCCAGAACTGAGATTTTTAGAATACAGGTCTCTGCCAGCACAGTAAATAACTCTGAGAGTGGACTGCCAAAGAGAATGAACACCTTTGGATGTGGTAGATGTTTTAAGAGAAAATGGCTTATCTTCACATTAAACATGGCGAAAAACTATTGAAATTTCCTACGATTATCATGTTTGCTGAGATTTGAACTAGGACCAATTACTGTTCAATCATCCTACTGCACGGCTCCTGGATGGCCCTGAATAATAGGAATAAATAGGTACGAAACTAGATAAGTGTGGATGAATTAAAAAATAATTTTTGCATTTTTAACTTTTCTGATATATTTTATTATATTATAATTTTTTAACATTTCCTCTAAAATATTTTTAAAAAGCATCACCAGAGAGGGATTTTTTTTTAAACAAAGAAGGTTATGTGATTAAAAGTATGACATAAATCCAAACCTTAAATACTTTGAAAGGTCTTATCACTTTTAACAAGTCATAATATTTGTTACCAATTTGTACATATTGCTTTGCTCGTTAAAAATATTTTGGTATGTCATTTCTTTGAGGTTCTAGGAATCCTTTTAATGATATAAAGTGGATAAAAAATTAATTAATTGTACAAGTTAAATATTTATACAAATATGACATTTCATTAATGAATAAAAAGCTTTTGTGCATGACATTATGTTATTCATGTTACGAGGCGTATTCGGAAACTAAGTACCGCTTTGAAAAAAAAAAAAAATAGTAAAACAATTTTTACATGAAAATACATGTCTTAAACTATTTTTCAACATAGTTTCCGCCAATGATCAAACACATGTCATAGCGGGTCACCATTTTTTGTATACCATCATCAAAGAAACTTCCCGCCAGTTTCGATAACCAGGACTCCAGCATTTTTCATGTCATCGTCAGATCCAAAGCGCTTGCCACCAAGCTCGTGCTTCATGTGCAGGAACAAGTGATAGTCGGACGGCGCAAAGTCCGGGCTGTACAGCGGGTGATCAAACTGCTCCCAATGAAACTGTCGAATTAACGATTGAGTGACCGAGCATTGTCATGGAGCAACACAATTCCTTTACTGAGCATTCCTCTTCGTTTGTTTTGAATAGCATGCCTTAGTTTTGTTAAAGTCTCACAATATCATGCCGCATTAATGGTTTCACCTCTGCGAAGAAATTCAGTAAGCAAAACGCCTTTCCTAATCCAGAAGACAGTGCACATGATTTTTTGTGATGACATTGTCACTTTGAACTTTTGTTTTTTCGGAGAATGAGTGTGTCTCCACTCCATCGATTGTTGTTTCGATTCTGGTGTGAAATGACACACCCAAGTTTCATCATGTGTCACAATTTGGTTTAAAAAGTTTTCTCCCTCATCACTGTACCGCATGAGATATGTCAGGGCACTACCAAGTCGCTTTGTTTTGGGAACATCAGTGAGCATTTTTGGAACCCATCGGGTACACAGTTTGCGATAATTCAAGTGGTCAGACACAATTTCGAACAAAACAGTACGCGAAATTTGTGGAAATGCCTCTGAAAGAGTTGTCATTGTGAAGTGTCTGTTCTCATGAATTGCTTCATCAACTTCTCTTACCAAATCATTGATGACAACAGAAGGCCGACGACTCCGAGCCTCGGCGTGGACATTTGTTCGACCTGCATTAAAATTCTTACCCACTTTCTCACCATTCATCACTTATCGCGTATTCACAGTAAACTTCTGTCACTTGACGATTTCGGCCGGTTTAACATTCCTCGCGTTCAAAAATTTAATCACGGCACGAATCTCACAGTCAGCGGGAGAACTAATTGTCTTAACCTTTTCGCGACGGCGCACCTTTGTTTAAAACGCTCGTGCGGGACAGAAGAGAATCGAAGGCAGTCACCGTACAGGACGGAGGTTTTACATCGTTAAGCCTAATTTTATAACCAAAAATCAGAAAAACAAAAGTTTCGCTTCTAGCATCGTAATTTTTGGTATCATTTTAGATTATTACTTGAGCTCTTATATATGTTAAAATTAGCCCTTAAAACATTTATTTCTTTATTTTACATGGAAATATACTTAAAAAATTGCTTATCTTCCATAATACTTTTCGGAAGAGCTATTCAAATTATTCTAAAGTTTTAATTGATAAAATCCATCAATAAAGTTTAAAATTATTAAAAAGAACACAATAAAGACTATTTACAGTAAGAAGTAACAAAATTTAAAATGAAAACGAGCGTGGTAAATTTCGAAGCACAGAGAAGTATCACCTTGTAACTCTTAGAAAAAGTATCACTTTTTAAACTCCTTAGAAAATGAATCAGTACTCTCATTTGCGTTAGTAAATGGTTCACTAACCATACTAGGGTATTTCTTCCTCTGATAAATAGCGCCTCCTTCCCGTCATAATAGACTGGAGGTGAGGCTTTCCTAAATAAAAAAAGAAGGAACGGAAATATATCTGAAGGCAATGCAAAACGTAAAAAAACTCCGCACAGTAACCCTAAAAGACCGTACAAAGTAGAGGAAAAAAATAGAATAAAAAGGAATTGGATATAAATCAGATACGAGAATGTTTTCATTAGCACGCAGGGGTTTTAAAGAGCCCTGCGTTTGTTTTACATTACGATTTCCCCCCTCCCCAGCCACAGCTGACAAGCAAAATACCAAAAACAGCCAGAATATAAACAATCTGAAGGTCAGAATACTAAAACTACGTTCAGTTTAAATGTAATGGACACAGAGTGCCATCTAGTGGCTATTAAAAATTGTTTCAGCTTAAAATGCATATCTGCACTGCCCGTTCACTTGGCCAGTTCTCCAGGAGTGCACGGGTGAACCGCCCGGGCCTCACATGCGTCCGTACGAAATGCATATATGATTCGCCCGTCGCGAAGAGGTTAAACATTTTGAATGTGCACAGCAAACCGAAAACACAACATAGAGCAACCAAAACGGCGACAATTGAAAGTCAGTGAATAAGAAAGCTTAGTGCACATGACCGTGACGCCTACCACAGCGCTGCGACGGCGCTAGAATGAAACGGTACTTAGTTTCCAAATACGCTACATATTTGAATTTTATTCAATGATAGTTTCACTACATTATAAAGATTTATAATTTTAAGAAGCAAATAAATACTTTGCAGATCTGCTCTGGTGGACGATTCACATTGTACCTCAGTTTGACAGATAATGAACCAACTCCATGTCCAGCTGTATTAATGAACAGAGTGCCACCTATTTTTCTTACCTGAAATAAAACAGTAAAATAAAAACAAAAATTTAAAACAAAGATCTCTTCCCCAAAGAGAAGGAAAGACGGAGAAGAAAAAAAAGGAAAACAATTTTCATTCTTAAAAAAATTCTCAATGAAAATAAAAATTTAAAAATTCTATTATTTAGAATATTTAAGAAATAAATGTTATGATAATATAACTGACTGAATGAAACAGATGCTTTTATAACTCAATTAAAATAAAACTTACTTCTACATCTTGCAAAACCATTGAATTGCCCTCATGGAAAGCCAGGACCTTATGGAAATTCCTATCGTTGCTTGATGTAATATTTGAAACTAAATTGATTGGAGGCATCTGAGCTCTTATAGCATATTCTGCGAGAGCCTGGAGAGCAATAACTGTATCCTGTAAATGAATTAAAGACCATGGTATTTTAACTACAAATATCAGTCATTCAGCACCAAAACAATGCAAAAAATAAATAAACAAATAAATTGTGTGTGGCCAATACAATAGGCTGGAAGATAAAGTGCTCTTTTAACTGAAGAACTGCACAAAAATGTATATATATTGGAAAATGTGTAAAGAACAGTATTATAATAGAACTTCAGATATCCGAATTGCTTTTTTCTTTCTGCATAGTTAACCCTTCAACTGCTTAAGATGTGTTTAAACCTTTTCAGAGTTTCTTTTAAAAATGCTTTAGACCTCTTTACATGAATTTAAAATTGCTCGAAAAATTTTTAAGAGGTGTGAAGCCCAAATTTTGCCCAAAATGCTCAAGACATGTTCTCTGGTGTTCTTTCCCCTACCTTTCTGCAGGCAGTTGTCAGTTGACATAAAGCGCTTAATGGGGTGTTAAGTCTCTTTGAAAAGAGCACTTTACGAAAGAGTCCTGAGAGTGAAGTATCATTGTCAGACAGCAGGTATGTATTATCTGTGTGCCGACTAAAGGTTTGCGAATGAAGATAAATTGTTTTACAACTGTTTGCCTTGTGGTACTTCATATAAATGAAAGTCAAACAGGATCAGACGTTGTTATAGTACATTGGCGAATTTTAGTAGGAAAATAAGAATTGTAATGGAAGACTCCCTTTTTAATAAATCATATGTTATACAATCAAATATTTTATTTTTGTATTAAAAGTTGATTACAGTTTCTGATTCGTCAGGAAAAAATATAAACTAGAGCAACCAGCTTTCTTGTTTGCCTTAGTGGTTCAAATGAACGTTATTATAATGGTATATTCTTCTTTTTACATTCTGAAATGTTAAAATTGTGCTTTCAGTATGCCTGAGTTTTGTACTCGTACTCGTATGTGTGGCTCTGTGTTCCGTAGAAATGCGAACTGACATATAAAAATTTTATGAATGTTGATAGGAAGATATTCTACTCGAAACTTCAACTAAATGGAATAAATGAATACGCCGAAGGAATTTCTAGAAATATTTGTTTTAAAAATTTTATTATTAAGATTTAAATCTAAAATGTTTTGAAATCTAAAGAAAAAAATATGTAATCCTTGAAAACATTTTTGGAAAGAAATCTATCGATATAAAATCTCTTAAAATTAATGGAGTGTAAATTAATTAAAACAGTTAGTGTACGGAAGGGTTAGATATATACTCGCACAAAAATTACAGTCAGAAGATCAATTATTTAAAGAATTAAATTAATTACATTATAAAAGAATTTAAAATAAATTAACATCTGTCCCAAATGTCAATGCTAACAGCAATAGCACGAATGAAAGTTATTCTTTAAATTCCGAACTTAATTCATCCGTCGGTACGCAATGATTGTGTCTTTGCGATTACTTTTTCATTATAGATACTACAAAAGGCCGCATCAACGAAGTAGCGGTAAAATCGTTGAATACTAATAGTTTGAAGCGGGTTCAAATCCTGACGAATGGATTGCCTGCATACCAGTTTTTCGAAATTTTTGCTGCCCATGTTTAATGTGAATATGAGCCAATTTTAGTTAGCTTTTCATGATGACGTGACTACGAGTCCTCTCGCTCGGGTTGTGTTTGGTTTGGCTTGTTAGATTATTAAGCACGTGAAGGCGATCTGTCTAAGGGGAGGTATGCTTTCGTGACAGATTTTCTAAGGAAAACAATCTCGCATACTACAAAAAGTTAAAACCATAAAAACGCCCATGCAATCAGCTTGTTCACGGGGGTTTGAATGCAGGTCAAACTACCAGTATGTTAAGAGAAACCCTCATTTAGTTTGCCATAAGCTAAATAAAATATAATAAGCCATAAGCTAAATTAAACATTCTTGAAATCTCTTCACATTACTGAAATGGCAATAACTTCGAATTATACTATGCTACCACTTTTTCCTCTAATATGAAATTTTGAACTTTTCCGTTATCGGACAGCCCACCAGCGACTGAGCGGAGTCTAACGGAACAACTGGTGGTTCTGTCCGGGGTTCGAATCCCGGCAAACGGGCTGGTTGCCAGGATGATTTTCTTAGTTTTCCATATGTGTAACATGTATGCAAGCCAATTTCCGTTAGGCAGTCCTCGAACGAAGGCATCCTTCACCTTAGGCAAATAACCATCGAGTACCTTTGCCATAATCAAATAAACCTTTATCCATAACATGCTTCAAATATTTTTATGTTGAAAAGTTCATGCGCCAAAGTTGGCCCCCGTTGAATGAATATGTGTTGTTTATTTTTTCTTTGTTTTTTATGTTCTTGTTTTCAGAATCTGAATTATCAATAAAATTCTTTTAATAATATATGCTATTTTTTGTTTTTTTGTTTAATGAAAATTAATTTAAGCGACAAATCTCTTACATTTAGAAAAATTTTCGATTTTCGAAACGAGTTGCTGTCAAAAGCGCATCTTCTCGTTGCTGCATATATTTATTTAAAGCAAACTGCTTGGCGCGTGTGCTTTTATATTTGAAAAGATTCAGAGAATTTTCAACAGGGAAATAAAGTTATTAATTTTACTGAATTTTGTGGATTCTTTGTGTTTTGAGGTAAAAGTCAAACCATCAGATATGTGATAACCTTAAAATAAGGGTATATATAATCAGGATTTTGCGGCCAGACATTCCCAGCGAAATACATTACAAAAATTTATCTATGTAGAATTAATGTATATTCCGTTTAGTATTTTAATTTATCAGTGTTATTACACATCAGTTTATCAGTGTAAGTTATATCGAGTTTTAGTTGTGTTCGATATAAGAATTTTATTTGGTTTATATAAATCCGATTCGTTTAATAATATTATATTTATTAAATACTATTTATTAGGTTTCCAAATCTGTCAAACCCAATCAATGGCCTCCTGGCTAAGATATCTGATTATCGCTATTTCGACTCATATTCGAACCCAAACAAACGAACTGGTTGATGGTTGGATTTTTTGATTTTCCCCTATGTGTAACATGAACATGAGTACGTTTTACTTAGAAAGTCGTCCATGGAGACATTCATTGCCTTCGGCTGATAGATCTCGTTTCCTTTGCCATACTCAAAAAATCTAAAAAATTTTTCAAAAAGACTACCAGATGCATATAACAAAATAAAATTAAGTAAATGCCTATAAAAAAACTGAAGTAAATGTATATAACGAAAAAAAATGAGGTAAAAATTAATTTTTAATAATTTTTTAATACAAGAGTTTTTAAATTGCGTTGTTTTCAAATTTTATTTCATTTTATGTATGTACTAATATACAGTTTATATGTGCGAACGTGTGCTTGTTCAGCATATCCATATATATTAATTAAATAAATCTGATTTAAAATGCATGCACTAACACATTATTCTCGTAACTTGAAAAACACTACACGTAAAGTAATGTCCGAGAAAAATATTTAAAAAATAATTAAATTTCGTCTCCTTACTCGGTGCTGTGTAAAACAATTTAAATAAGCTTATTAACTTTTTTTTTCTTCTTTATTAAAAACAAATTAGTTTCTTTTTCATCTATATGAAAAATATTAAAATCTTGCTGTCGGACTGGAAATTCTTAAAAATATAAAACTTGTTTTTTTTTTTTTTTTTCGAACAAAAGTTTCTGGGGAATTTCTCCAGGTCAGCAGGCAGTAACAGGATAACTGAATGCTTTGTTTGAAAAACCCAATGAAGTGGATGATTTCACCCCAAAAATTTTTATTTAACAAAGCAGATGCAGTCCAAATGGCTTCTGAGAAGCATTCGTATTTGAATAGCTAGAAGCTTGAATTGGAAGACTTATTGTTTGTGAAGCAATCAGTCAGACAGCAATGAAATTTGTTATAGATAGTTCTCTCTCTCTGTGAGTTCTTGAAATCCTGGAATGGGTGTAAGTTTATTTTGTTTTACATATATAAGCAAACTGCATGTAAAGCAAAATAATTCCAGGCAGCCATTGTATGTTAATCATTGTACGTCTCCTCAGCTCTTCAGTTGGATATTAAGAAAAGAAATTCCTATACTGCTTTTGTATTACTTGTATAGTGAAAGATTTGAAAAATAGCTTCATATGAAAAGTTTTTCTCTGATAAACGAATACAGCTGAAAACATGTTTCTGTCTTCCGTATATACACAAAACAACATGAAATAGTACTGTACTTTTTTGTGTTGTATTACATTTTTATATTACTTTGTGGTAAATTTTTTTATTCTTAAATTTCTCTCCCTCTCTTTTATTATAATACACCAGAACTTTTTCAAATATGGCTGACCAATGAACCTAAATTTTTATATAAAAAATTTTCCATAATCATTAGACACAGCTTTGTGTATATTATATTTATGAATACATGTCTGCAATTAACACTAAGAATACTGTTGCTAAAATTCATGATATAATTAATAATGAAAATACTGTTTAAGCTAAAAACCAATTTGAATCTTTTTTTATTATAGGGTAACATGAGCCAAACAGTTTTCGTTAGAAATATACAATTATGTTAACTTGACACACCAGACAGAAAATATTTTATCGTCATCATTGGCTATGATAAAAAGTTTTTACCCTTAAGATTTTGGATTATGATAAAGCACACAGAACGTATTTGTCTAAGAGAAAGGAAGTGTTAGTGGTAAATTTTTTTGAGGAAAACAAACTGTTAATTCACAATTGCACTTGTGAAAAACCCCTAAACTTCCCACGCAGCCACTAGAATTTACCGGTGCTCAGCTATCTTACCGCTTGGAGACTAGTTGGCTTTCTGAACTTGCGCAATATCTATCTGAATTTTGGATATTTGCATAAAAAACGAGCAAAATAAAATGGCACATTGTAAATAGTACATTTTGCTGAAAACAAAATTTCTTTGAAAAAGGAAAATTAATTGTAAGGAATAAGATAAGGGCATTTAAATAAATGGCGGCCAATAACAACGCTGATCATATGTTTTTGTACAGGATATCATTTTATTCATGC